AGATGAAACGATTCAATGAACTGTTACGCTTCGCTCTTTTTGTTAAGATTAAACTGATATCGTATTCATCAATAATTGTCATCACGGACCATTTTGACAGTCATTCGCATAATTGCAGTCTGTTTAAATGCTCCAAAATACATCACCATGCTATGGTTTTGATAAGGTTTAACCTAAGTGCATGAAAGCTCGTGGTTGTTTTTTAAGATTACCATATGTTTATCCGGCAAATGATTTAATCAGACGTGTTATATGCACTGAAAGTTACAATAAAATATTCTTCAAACAACAGATAAATCAGAGTTATTACTACTCAAATGGCAGCATTACCAGAACTGGTACAATGCAATAACTCTAATATTTAGCTATCGTTTGAAGAATCTATTATTGTAACTAATCAGTTTGTTTTCTATATCAATATAAATGATGCCAGTGCAACAGCGTGGTACGGGTACTGAAAAAAAAAAGAACAACTTGATACTTTCAGGCCGCAAAATAAATAGCATCGTATATCTGTCTTCATCAGTATCACAGTACTGGGGAAGATTGAGCATATTAGTAAGTGCGGTGCATTAATCTCAGACATGCCATATCCCTTAATTTACATACACGTATTTTTGAAAGCACACATAAAGTAGTGCATAGTATCTATTCTGATGTCAAAAACAGTCTAAGAAAAGAAGTTTACGATGAGATAAAGATTAATGCCAGTCGACGAGCGTCACATTTCGATAGGATATTTTCATATAATCTATAAACGAAGCCCTGGATTAGGCTAAACGTTTTACATTAACTTGATTGTTTTACATTAACTTGATTGATATCATGTCGAGATTATGAGGAAACACTGTTGTCTGGAAAGAATATAAGTGTCATACGATAAGTTTCGTTTTACAAGATGCACCAGGAAGCGTCTTTAGTTATTACTGGGACGGGCATGTATGTCTCAAGGAGGCCAAAAAAGATCGAGCTGCTTTATGTTTTGTTTGCTAAGCGCGTATTTTGTTTTAATGGGTAGTAAAACTGATGTCTTTCTTCAGCACAACGCACACCAAGACACACGCACGAGAGAGAGAGAGAGAGAGAGAGAGAGAGAGAGAGAGAGAGATCAAAAATCTATAGTGTCCATGAACTTCAGTACTCTGTAATTCGGGCATTATCCCAACATTCCATATTTTTGTTGTTATAGCAGGTACGCAATTACACTAGTGTACACACAGGACGGCTAATGTAGCGCATTATAAATAGCTGGACACAGAATGTGACCCAAGTTTATTTGAGCAATCCTACAAACACAGGTAGAGATGTGTTATGCAAACGTGTACTCAGCAATGTGGGCCATGGGACATGCTCTCGTGTATGAGTGACAGGGGCGGATTCAGAGATATTTTCTGACGGTCTTCCAAAGTTACTTTGTTGACCCGTCCTCCATTTTTGACCGTCTTCCGACAGAAACTGTGTGTCACTGTGTGTCGCCCAATTTGAGAAGAAAGAATGACCCAACTCCCTAGTTCTTTCAACGTTCATAAAATACAATCACACCATCTCCACACTATATTGTCCAGTGAACAATATATTGTCTTCACATTCAACCTTAAGTTATACATGCTTTTATCATCATTGACCATGGGTAGGAAATGATGTGATAACAACATCCACTGACTGCGTCAGAAACCGAACGGTTCAAAACCGCTCTTTGTGCACTATACGTGTACGTGTTGTATATAGTGCTTCCGAACACATTTAATGTACTGGCTGTGTCTATATACATGTAATCCTAGTACCCAGCAATAGGGCTATTAAGAGTGCATGGGGCACGGCCCTGCGTATCGGTGCACCATATTTAATTCACAGACCCCAGTTATTAACGCGTTATGGCAATCTTCGTGTCACTTGCGTGTTACCTGTTGGGTTTTTTACTTCTACTTGCGTCTGAATATGATACGGCGGCGGAAGCAGTGAGTGCGTCCCGCGGTTAAAGATGAGTAAAGATCAAAGGATTGATCGTTATCGAGATGGGAGAGAGGGCAGGGAGGGTTCTCGAGAGAAATGGATAATCTAAACCCAATACTAATGCCATTTTAAGTAGAAAAAAGAAGAAAAAAAAAAGAAAAAAGTGAAGAAAAAATTCTAGGTTTAGACAGAACTCAACACTGCTTAAGTCCTTTGTTTCTACGGTCCTCTCTGACCCTGCAAGAACCACAAATGTCAATGTTAACTGCACTTTAAGAACCCCCCCCCTCACGCATAATACATTACGACACAGCTGTGATGTTTTACATTGTTCTATCAATTATATATACATACTCGCCGCAGGTTGAAGGCATAAAGAGAGGGAAATTGAACTGCCAGCATAGGTCAATTACCAGAGCAACTTCCAAGGCATTCTGCCATCCCTTGGGCGAAGTATTATAGATGTATGTACGCTCCATGCCTAATTATAGGAATAAAGTCACCGGTCCTTACGTTGACGCAGTGACAGTCGATTACTTTTTCTCCATAAATGCATACACTCCGCTATTCGTCATATAAGGCACCGGGAGTTATTATCAGTGGTATTTACGACCGAAACAAGGTGATCAAATTTCCATGAATTTTGATATAACTGTCTCTCACAGAATGACGGGTATGGGGTCAGATGAAAGGCTGTGCTCGACTTAATTCGCATGATAATTTCGTATCTGTGATTCACGACAACAGACAAGATTCATTTTCTAGATCATGTAATAGACATCACGTTGCCAAGTTGGAGGGGCAACATGCACATTATATCAATATCATATCCCTGTCCAATTAATTGCATACGAGATTGCAAATCATAGCCTTTTCAGTCTGGATGTTACGCCATACATTGAGGCGGTGTAACCCTCGCAACTGAAATGCGTGGTCGTGAACTTTTGATTGACGAAGAAGGGATCACGTAACCTTGGTTTCTGAGCACATATGTACTGTAGATACTGGTGTGAACTTGCAACAAACGCAAAGCTTTGGTTTTCAGAGCTAAACTGCAGGTTTGCATAATTATTAATTATTTGCCGGAACATTCTTGACTTCGTTTGTACTAGTCGGGTGAGAGAATTTGGAGATGTGCGACAAAATATATATCAGTAGCTAAAGGCGGATATAATATAAATATACGTAACTTACGTTGGATATGCTTGGAGAAATAGCAGCAAAACACTGGCAGTTTAAACCGTCTGACTTCAAAGAGAAATGACCCGAGCGACGAACCAAGAAAACATACATTCTGCAACTTTCAAGCCATCTGTTTGCAACTTGTGCTAAAATTCCAATCCAACTTATCTATCACCTGTTAAACCCTTGTTCTAAGTAAAGAACAACAGTTATTCAATCACACCAGAAAATTATACATTTTGCAACTTCAAACCAATACAACTGTTTGCAACCTGTGCTGTTATTCCAATTTTACTTGTTTACTATTATCTGTTCTATCCCTGATCTAAGTAAAATTCAACTGTTGCTCAACAATTGTTATTCAATCACACGTTGAAGACGTTTGCTTCTTTCCCCACTCTCTGGTGGAACGTAACTGCACCCTGTACCTATCTACAAAAATGCTGCTTCAATTTAATTGACCAGGCAAATTTGTGAGGTAGATTCCGGATTGATTATTTCCTTGGACTGGTCAAAAATAGACGCACAAGATATTTGATGATAGCAGGTGCAAATAAGTTCACTAAACCTTCCACTTTGAATAAGACGGATAAATGCTTTTAATTATTTAACTCAGAGTAAAGGAATTATTTAAAGTTGAGGGAGACTGCGCTTCCCATCCGTAATGAACTGTAATGAAACTACAACGCACTTTATTGATGAAATGAATGAAATCTAGGTCAGTTCTCTGTATAAAGCACAAAATAAGTGAAAAATCGACTTATTCGACAAGGTTGTTATACCACAGATCATATTAACATTGCCTTGACGAGTGTAAATAGCAGTCATTTTCTCCCGTGGAAATATGCGATAGCTGCACGTAGACTAAAGTTTTTAACAACCGATTGAGATAAGCGAAAAAAAAAAAGAACTTTCATTCGGGCTAAGCTCTGTTAAATTTGTTGAATTCGTGATTCGGTGCAAACAGTCACTGACTGGAATAATATTCACGTTTTGATTAAGATTGATGTGGATCAGCCAAACTTCCTTTCAAATGGACTTCACATAAAACGCATTAGTACGAACCTTCTCCGTGTGAAAACAAACTGGCCCCTCTTTATTTATCGTGATTCATATTTGTTTATGTAACACTGGTTCGATTAAGAAGTATGAGCTAGGGCCAATATAAGACCGATTTATTTATGATTTTAAGCAATGTCTCGTTATCGAGCCACCCTTATAATTTGGCACCCTTTCAGGAGCGTATCATGAAAACTAAATTTGATTTGGTTTCTAAAAATATTTGAAAAAGAAAAAAGCGCTAGTGTAAGCGGCTACCAACAAATCCTCCAATTCGCCAACTTGCGGCCTTCCATTTGCGTTAAACTGGCTAAGCACAGCGGTATGACATTTACACAAATCCTCAGAGCAAATTACCCGAGATTTTTTATTGACGCCTTTATTTTACTTTCCGTCTAGTAAAATGGGCTTCAGTTCACTTTTACACTTTTGCCAACGCGGTTAACTGAAATCGGTTATAAGTGATCTATTGTGGATAAAATGGGATTTAAAAAATGAGAGGGACCTGCCATGCTCATGATCATTCAAACAAAACATGGTAAAAAGCCTACGTATTCCATTATATCGACAATATACATCCACTTCATAAGAGCAAACGGGGGAAAGTGATCCTATGTAAATATCACTTAACTCTAGAAAAATTAACCGCTGAATTGTTAAATAATCGACCTATCGGAGGATCTTTTGGGAGCAAGCAGTGAGCCGAGTCAGAAATGTGTAGGAGTTAATGTTTTACAAACAAAAAGGAAAAGATAAGTAAATAGTATGAAGACAAGAAAAACAAAGAAAACTGTGGATTTGCTTACTCCTTGCGTTCAGCGATAATTCCTCCAGTAACTCCCGTTTGCTTTGAATTTTCTCGTCAAAGCGCTTGAGGAATGGACGATGTTCGCGTTCGCTCCTCGGGAACCGTTCATATATTCCCTCAATAATGAAGTAACACTCCTTGTGTATTTCTGTTAGTGGATACACCATAGCAACTTTTTTCCAAGAAAACTGCTGAAGTATAGAGAAAAAGAAGTACCCAACTTGGGCATGAGAACCAAGCATCCGCGTTAGAAGTTGGTATTCATTGCTCTTGGATTTGAAAGCCTCAGCTCTGGCTCCGGCGGTTAAAAGGGGGATGTTCCACACGGGGCTGTAGCGTGCCACGGGGGCCACGGCGAAAGAAAAGCAAGGCCCCAAAAATACATGAGCGTACCGCGAAAACCGCATGTTAACAGCGGCGAGGGGTCCGTCCCTGTCCGATAACCGGGAGTCCATTCGGCATATCTCGAACGTGTATCCTCGTAACGTGTCAGCTTTTCCCTCAATTTTTGCCGTCGCATATTCCACCGCCGGCCCCACCCTGGGGAGGCGCCATTGGACGTTGTGATCGCAGGGGAGAATAATTCCAATCTTGATCTTGTACGGGTCGTCTCCGTCGTAGCACTTAACATCACTCCGCTTTTCCACGGGCAAAGAGCACACGTTGGCCGCCACACAGTGTCGCCAAAGAAATAACTGGAGTATCATATACACTAGGATCATCCGCCCCACTTCAGACATTGTCATTGCCGACGTGAGTCGTGTGGAACAACACAGAGGGTGCATGTTTTCACTGCCGCGCCTTCCCCTGCAGCTTGGTAAGTGAATACTGACAAGAATAACGACAGTAAGACAGGAACTCCATACATTACTGATGAACCGCCCCCCTTCAGTACTCCAAACGAAGGGTTTTTTCTCTCAGGGACTCATACACTGAGTAGATGCTGCCCAAGAATAGCACAACAAATCACCCGGCTCTCTCGTTATCAATGTGTACCGCGGCACTGTCACCGACGCCAGTGGGTATGTGTACACGTTTCGGGAGACCGTCGTTGTTTGCTTAAACTTTAGGTCTTTACTTCCTTCCCCCGTTCATTTACTATTACTTCATCTCCGCTCGATGGCATCGATGCGGCTAGGCCAACACTATAATTTGTCCATTTAAGCCTAATCTCTCCGCACGCTTGTGCCTGTGTGCTGCGCGTTTGTATAAACAGCGATTGAAGGAAGAAGTCGATTTCAATGCGGGCAGTCCGTCGATTGTATATGTATTGCAGCTTGGTTAGGGATGATCGCTTCTGCGCATGCCCCGCTTAGACAGCATTTTCATTCGCAACCGTTTCAGTTGTACTAGTACGTTTTTCAGTCACGACGTTATTATAGATTTAACGAATTACAGCAGTGGTGGTGTAACTGGTGCGTTCATTCAATTCATTCAGACAGTCTAATGTAAGAACGACACTTTATAATACTTTTTGCACTGTTTCACCACTCTTTTCGTATCTCTCTGTTTACGTGCCGATGAAGAAATACATTAAAATTTCGATATTTTTTGCATCATGCATACATATTTGAAATGTATTCGATAAACTTGTAATTATGTACATATAAGGCGTGGCATCAACATGCACAATTTCTGTAAACGCAGCATGCGTGCACACCTATATTAGTCAATAACAATTATTATTTTACAGCAGTCTTTTTCATCCTAAGAATGACATCAAATGTGCAGTGCTCTTATAATGGGCTAATTCGCTAGACAGATAGATTCCTTTCATCAGCTAAAACATGATCATTGATCAACTACGCAGGGTGTCAAAAGGACATCTGAAAACGAACTGCTGTGCGTGTAGTTACACTAAATTACGATATTAAAGGATTTCATGCAGCGGGCATATATCATACAATTCTTTTTGCCTTTTTGTGGCACCCCGTAAAGGCGCAGTGTACTATTACATTGTACCATCACCGCCTTCCGTGCAAACCATAAATTTCCGAGAATCAAGTCGTTACAATCAATCGGAAAAAATGAGCTGTAAACATAATTGTTCTATCGCGTGCCGTGTGAGTTAAAAGATCATTAGATTTTTCAGTGTTTTCGCTTTCTTATTGCTGAGTGAAGCGCCACTAGGCGTTTTATGGACCATTCAGATTGAGAAGAGCCGAGTGCTGCCTAAATATGGCGGACCTACATGGAATAAAGACCGCTTAATCCTGTAATGGTCTCCCCGCCTCTTTCACGCCTCCCCACCCGTCGTCTCTGCAGGGGCACAGTAATGAAATCTCGTCTCAATTCGACCGGTCGAGGGACGACGTAAAAAGTAATCCGCAGTGACAACTTTTCATCCCAGTATCTATAAAGGGTGCCGTCAAAGGCGTGACGCCCTTCTGGCTGTCAGGTTTCTACCATGGTGAAGGTACGGGAGCTCACAAATGAAGAAGGAAAGAAATTGTTTCTCTGAGGGAGAAGGATATAGATGGCCCCCCTGATAGCCGCCAGATATTTGTGTTTGGCCAGCCTGTAAATAGTGTGTGCAAAAGGATGGAGGACACTAGTGATGTCCATAAGCCAACAAGAAGTGAGTGCCCAAAGAAAACTAGTGCCAGAGACGGCAGGCGTCTTTTTATGTTGTCAAGGCTTAGGAGATTTGAATCATGCAGAGCCTTAGCATTGCAGTGGTCGCGCAATTTGTAGGTTGAAGTTGGCAAAGAAATGTTCAAATAAGGTTCCATGCTACAGGAATTCACACCGGGGTTGTTAAGAGGAAACCGCTTATCACCTTGGTAAACACACGAAGAATATGCATTTCATCGCTGGGCAGCCCAATTCAATAATGGTTTTTGGTGAATTGGTTTCTAAGAAGTTGGTGAACGGATCGCCTCTTTGCCAAAAATGCTCTGGCCGCTAGTTTCTTTACAGCCTGGGCTAACATAGCCCCTAAAAGATTACTTAACTGTTATCTGGCGATACCCAGAAAGATGGTGGCCATATTGAGATCACTTGGATGTCCTACGGAATATTAATACTGACAAAATAAAGTTCGTTATGTAAGGGCAAATCACTGGTGTGCAAACCTGCAGTAAAGACACTAACTTGACATACCAGTTTTCAATAAAATACTTATCTAAAAAGGTAACAAATCCAGCTGTTATTCACTTTTAAGCAAAATGTACCGGTAGAATAGATAGCAGTAATCCACAATAAGGTGACCTGCAAGGGTGTGTAGGGTCAGTGAATGCTGCCATAATGATTTGGGAGGAGTGAATTGCTCTTTCTGTGGGCAAGGACAATTGGCACCCGAGTACTTAACCACAGTATTGTACCTCTAGTAACTTTCTCTAATCAGACAAGCCGAGAGCTATGTCATGATATACAGTAATAATGAGTCTGCTTTCTAGCTAGTACAGACAGAAACACGACTTTGGTATTTACACAGTATTGTTAAGTCTAGTTCGTTACGTATCGAATGGAATGTTTACATGGTTCAAAATCTTCCTCTGTCTGTCTGTCTGGTCTGTATCTTAGGTTTAGACTATACCATTTCGTGATACACTCTTGATTACCTCAGACAGTCGCGAAAAATTCAAAAGGGAAATGAAAGAAAAAAAAAGAAGTCATTACGTTTGTACATGGACCAAACTAAGGGCACATCCCTGTAGAACGCTGTTGAACATTGAATTACCACCGGCATTGTACTGGAAATTGTGATCAGAAAGAGCAAAGGGCAACTGTGTCAACTTATCGACATGTATGTCTTTTAATCAACTGGCGGCATGAACAAATTCCAAGTAAATCCTAACTGGTGAACCGACTAGAACACCAGGTTACGAGATGTGGCAGGCATAACCGGTATATTTATGAAACGGGAATGGAAAACAATGTTTTTTTCTCTCGCTCTTACGTCAAAAGAAATGGCCCGCACTCTTTTTCTACCCAATTCCCCTACCTGCGACATTTTCAACTGTATCGCTGTCAAATGATTGTATTCAAACTATTGCCTATATTTTCCTTGTCAGAGTGTTCCCTCCCTTTCGTTACACCCTTCATGGACACATAGAGCAATTAAGAGTAATATGTTGTTCGTACGTGTCGCATTTGCTCGTTCATTTATTGGCGTCTGTTGAAACGTGTCTTCAAATAATTTCACGCAATCTAATTGCCACATAGAATCAAATAATCACAAAAATTGAATAACCTTATCATTTTATATATCTGACACATCTATAATCTTCATCGGATTGTCGATTTCAGATTTCCCCTAAATGAAATCGTCCTCCGTGATTATGCCAGCAATGATGCAGCAAGGGTAATAAAAAGGCAATTATACCAAGTCGAACTATAAAAACGCCATTTCAAACATCAACGCAGTGTGTAGCATTTTGTAAGAAGATAGGAAAATATCGAAACACGGGTAAATGAAGATAGATGATAGATAGAAACTTTTATTGCCGAGTTGTCAGGTTAGTAATCAAAATCCTATTTTTCACCACAGACACTGGCTTGGCGACATCGAATAACTGCCCCCGATTGAACATAATAGAGAAAGAATTTAAAAGACCCCCCACGTGGCCTACCGTCTTTTACGTCTCTATACCCAGATATCATAACAGTCATGGAACACATACATGAAAAACTATACTGTCGTTTGATTTGACATTTCTCACATCTTCACATCTATTCCGGTGCAGCATATGTATAAGGATGTTAAACGAAACAAAACAAAGCAAAACAGGCGCTGACAATCACTCTGTGCTAGTACTAGTGTAAGGTCGTCGTCAGTTCAGCGGTAGTCCACATCAGCACACCTTAACTCCATTCCCCCTGGTGTTCAGCTAGGGTTATCCGTGAAATAAAACACCCCAGAAAGTGTTTCATTTGTATCGCTGTAAACGAGGTGAGAGTATACAGTATAAACGACTAAAAGCTTTTTTGGTCGTCATATGCCATAAATACTGAATCGACAAAAATTACACAAAGTTCTATACTTAGAGCAAACGGTATTTATGATATATTGTGACAGTTTCTGGTTTGCAGTAATGGTATTATTGAGATGAATAGCTAAATCACATATAATATCGTAAGCATGCATGCTGGCGTATCAAAATGTTACGACTATTAAAGTCTCCTCATAGTACTATCATTTAAAGCAAACGAAAAATATTTCATAGCCGGCAGATGGCTTGCATAATGAATAACAGGGATGGATATCCATTCATATCTCCAAAAGATTTTTGCATATTCCCTTTTATATCTTTATTACTGGTACAGATGATGATTTAATTTTTATTAATTTGTTAAATAACATCATCTTTTTTTAATGCCTTTCGCACAGATCTAATTTTGTATTTTGTATGCCTGCTTACAAGTAGTATTTTGGATATTTATTATCATAATTTCAATGATTTGTTGTTAAATTTATACATTTTGTACTCGTGCGTATACGTACATGTATACTATATAGTGCTATAACCCCATTACGCGATTACTTGCATGACTTATTCATGATTGCCCACATAGTGACGGCATGCTAGTTTAACGAAGGGATAAAATCAGAGAAAAATAGGTTCACAGAGGATCACAGTAAAGGTTCTGCACAGGATGAGGACTTTGGACTTTCGTGAAAAAGACAAAGCACAGCGGGCTGCTCTTGTGCCCAAGTCACCCAACACGACCAAATAGCATCCATCAGGAGACATAATAACCAAATTATCTGCATCTACGTAGCAGCGGTTCAAAATTGTCTTGTCGATCTTTTTAGCGATCCTTTATATTAAGGACGAATCAATTTCTAATGCACGGCAGTAAGCGTACATTGTAGAAGTATCTAGCATGGGTTGTCAGTGTTAAACAGTCGGGAATGTTTAATGGATCGCTTGAACAGGCACTGTGAAAGTTTTGTGTGATTTGTGGTAGCGTGACATTGTAAATTGCGTGTCACTGTGTTAGGTGGTGTGTCGTTTTGTATTGTTATTAATCGCACAGCACTGTTCTGTAGTGTATTGTTTTTCTGTTGTATTGTATTGCAATGTATTGTGTTACATTGCAATTCATTGTATTGTATTGTATTCAAAGATGTACCATATGATGCTTTTAGCGGCACTGACTTATTCATAAAACAAAAACAAAGAATGTGTTTATCTTAACAGCTCGACTAACTGCGACTTACTTCCATTTATCAGTGGCTTGAAAAGTGATCATTTTTGTACTGAGTGCACATTAGTTTGCTTCTAGAATCGATTTCTACATCC